TATAAGGCACACCCTAATCACCCCGAGCGCAACACTAAAAACCACATCAGCGGATGCCGTGTCTTAAGTCACTGAGCTGGTGGAGAGATTATAAAGATCTCTCTGACTGGTTCAGCGATACAGAGAGCAGCAGCACTTGCCACTTACATTCCTCACATAACAGCCACAGTCCTTAGTGTTTGGGAAGCTGCGAGGGAGCATGGCTATATATATATATACTGTAAGTATTGAATCAGTGTTAGCTATGTACACAGTTAGATTTGCAGTTCAGGCAACCAAATATGGTAGAACAATCACACAATGCTTTTCCAAAGAAAACCACACTTTATTCCACACGCATCTGTTCAAAAATCAACTGCTGCCAAGTTTCTGCCTACGAGTAAGGCAGAAACGCGTCAGTGGTTAGTTTTTGTACAGATGCGTGTGGAATAAAGTTAGATTTTCTTTGGAAGAGCATTGTGTGCTGGTTCTGCAGTCTTTGAGACAATCACTCCAGAAGAGGGTTATCCGTGCACCGACTGTGGATTACAAGGATGCATGACAGGGGTGAACTGTGCACTTTGTGTTTCGAACCCAATATACTACCCTACAACAAATTCTATAGAAGCAGCACATTTGTTTAGGTTTTATTACAGATGTCTCTATAATGTGCCCCATCAAAAAGATCTGAACACCCACTATACATACCATGCTCTCTAACCAAACCAGCTTCTGCTTAACCAGAGTCCTTAAAAGCAAATACAATACCTGAGAAATTAATTGGAACTTTAGAACACCATTGTAAGAAAATAAAAACAAGTGTGCATCACCCACTAAGACATTTAAAAAGATTTTTGATTCCTACGTAATGGATTATGACTAGTTTTTTTTAAACAAAACCCAACTCTCCAAGCATGCTTCAATTACTTATCACAAACATGGGGAAAATGTCTGTGAAGGTTCTCATTCATCCATGTCATGGTATATCTGTAAAAAAAAAAAAGGTCATGGCAACTGGACTTGCTGTATTTTTCTTAAAGACGTTTCACTGATCATCCGACCAGCTTTCTCAACTTAGAATGACTTGTACAAAAATTATCTGGGAATAAATATGGTGAATGTTGCTCCAATCCACACAATTTGTTAGGTACAACCAGGTGTTGATTGAATTTGCATAATTGGAGCTAGGAGGTGTTATTAACCTGCCCAGAAAGAGGTGTTAAAACAGTATTGTATGTGGCAGAAAATAGATGTCTCAGCCCCCCCCCCAACCTCTAGTCAAGCTTGGCTTCCCCATTTTTACATAAATGGCCTCTATGTCTGCCACATAAAATGCAGTTTTAACACCTCTCTCTGGGTGGGCAGGCTAATAACACCTCCTAGCTCAAATTATGCAAATGAAATCAACACCTGGTTGTGATTGTGATTAACAAATCATGTGGCTTGGAGCAACATTCACTATATTTATTCCCAGATAATTTTTGAGAAAGCTGGTTGGACGATCTTCAAGAAAAATACAGCAAGTCCAGTTGCCTTGACTTATTTTTTTACAGAAGTGGGGGAAGATCACCAAATGTGCCCAAGTTATCAATTTTCCTTTTAAATCCTAACTTAAAATGATTCAAGAAAGTCTTGTCAGGTAACGTTACATTCTCCCTGCATTAAATAACAACAATCAGGTTGATAAGCCCACCCACCCTTCACCTTCTAATTGAAAAATAAAATGTATATAAGAACAATGGAATCAGTTACAGTCCAGCAGCATGATTCTATGTCATGAAATAAGGGATCAGTGGAATTTTGGCTCAAGTCTTTAAAGCCCCTGAACAGTTGCCAGTTGTCTGGGTTAACCCCGGAGACAATCTTCTTTAATGAAGAAACCTGTGTCAGTTAATCACTGAAACTATAAACTATAATAACCTAAATTTTGCTTATCTGATTTGTTATTTACCCCCTCCTCCTTTTCTTTCCTTTCTTGTACTGTCTCTTTCACTAGTTCCTCACATGAATGTAATCGGTGTATTATTAACCCTCATTGAAAGTCTTCTTTCTCCGTTGGCTTTGTACTTTTAATAATGAGTTAGGACACTGCTGTTGCTGACTAGATCTTTATTTCTGCTCTATTTTCATGGTTGTTCATTCACACAAATAAATACATAATAACCAATAGAGATGGGATGCCTGGTGCACTCAAACTATGATTAAAGCCCAACTCCAGCATTCGTTTTTTTAAATTTTAATAATTGCCCAGCACATTTGATAAAATAAAATAAAAATAGCTCCTATTGCATGACTCACTTCATATTCAGCAGTGTCCCACACAGGTGCACCACTCTGCAATCCAGCACCAGTTCTCTTCTTGGTTGAATGTTACTCAACCTACTTCCTGTGAGCCCAGGACATTATTGATGCTACTCCTGGGGCGTGTATCATTGAGCTGTCCTAAACACATTGGGGAATGTTGCAGGAAACGGTAGTCGACTTTGGAGCATGCATGGCCCACTCATCATTGCAGAAAAACAAGAAGAGGACCCATAACTTCACACAACAAAATCAAAGAAGATAGTAAAAAAAAGTATGTCTTTAAATGTATAAGGGGATGTTTGAGACAAATTGCCAGTCCACCAGATGAAATGATCCACTTTCTGAAGTGTGCTGGTTTTTAGACAGCTTACTAGTTTATTTGTGTAATAGGATTGCCGCATACCATGGGCCTCCCTTACTTCCGCTGGGTGACAGAACCTAAATATAGTATATTTCATTTTCCAATGATTATTGTATTACATGGTTAAGCTAGTTCTCAATAAAACTGGGTAAAATGTAACCTCCCATTCTTGTTAGGCCAACCATATGACCATGAAATGCTGTGTTATCCTGCACAAAATGTCACATGAGCCCGCAGCTGGAAAATTGTTATTATAATTCAGGATTTAGAGAGCATCAACAGTTTTCAAAGAGCTTTACAGCATTGCCCTGCAGGTAGCAGAAACATTGTCAGCCTGTCGTGCAGATAGATATTGGGCTGCCTATGAGATAGATTTGATAAGGCAGCCCAATAGCTAAAGGATGAAACAAGCAAGGTTCTTCTGTCCAGTGACAGTCTGTCAAATGCAAATAACCAGAATCCACCTATATGAAAAACATTGCAGAAACTAAAAGAATAAAGTAATATAAGACAGGAAATCTGGTCCACTGCCTCCAACATTCAATTTTTTCCCTATCGTTTTTGAAATCTCCTCCAATTTTGGGTGCTGTATATATGCATTACATTCAAGAGTCAAACACAGTTCACCAGGTCCAATAAAAACGATGCAAATTAGCCATGTGGGACCTTGCAGTGGGTCATTTTATATGCATGCATCTATGATAACAGCTTTATGTAACTGAAGATCCTAAATATAAACGTCTATGTCAGTGGTAAAATGGGGGCATAATGCAAAGTATTATCAGAGGATGGCAGAATTTGGCACTCAAAGACTCTCACTGCTGAAACTTGTAGTTCTACAGCAGTTGGAAAGAAGCATAGCCCTGTTATAAAACAAATTGTATGTAGAGCTGATGATAAAAGGTCACATCCACAAAGGCAACTAGCTTTGGTCTGGAGCAACCAAACATAATTCAACTTTTACGTGGGTTATTCACAAAAGGGTGAAGAGTTTGGAGAAGGCAGGAGAAGTGAACAATCTAGGACAACATAGCTGAACTGGAGAATGTTTCCAAATCAGCTATGTTGTCCTAGATTGTTCACATCTCCTGCCTTTTCCAAACTCTCCACCCTTTGGTGAATAACTTTGTTACTGTTCTGTACAGTAAAATGCTCTTTATACAGCATCTCTGCTCCTTGCACAGCCGTATTATATAAACCAGAACAAAGCAATAAGAAAAAAAAAATATTAACTTTTGCTCAGAAAAAATAAACAATTGCACCTCTACCAGATCTTATTTTAATTCATGACCATCCAATAAACCCAGAACCACTTTGGTTTCTCATAAAGTAGACAGCAATAATCACATGGATATAGTCCCAGGCATTGGTCACAGCCCCCTCTCATGATTGGCTGACGTCTGTGCTCTGACTGCAGCAGCTTGGAATTCTCTGCACACGTCGTCCTCGCAATCACTCTGTCGCCTGTGACTGTCCTTTCCAAATGCTTAAAAGGCAGCATAACTTAATGCAAACAGCATCAGCATAATAACTGACTAACACATCTGCTACGCCGTGTGTACGTCGACTTCAAGAAACCGAAGGACCCTTGAAATGCATCCAAATTTACAATTAGCCCTATTAAAAAACATGTTACAAATCAGCGTCCCCAGAATAAAAAATGTGTTAATTATTTAGTCATATTACAGCATGATAACCTGTTCAGGTAACTTTGTGTAAAGGAATAGACATTGACTGCAATGTTATCCATCTGTCCAACAAAACCAACATAGATTGAGCTCCTTAATGTTTCAGCATGAACATAAATATAGTTTTCTACCCACAATCTGTGCATAAGGGGCTAAGAAGTCAATGCAGGTCCCTTCTGCAACAGCTTTCAGCCTTTAAAGGGGATTTCTGTTGCAAGCTTCCAGCATTTATTAAATGATCTAACGTTGCGGTATCCCTGCAACTAATTAGTATGATCAACACAGTGCAAGCCTGGAACAAAGCAGACAACCATCTCAGGATCAAATGATACACTCAGGCGAGGGTGCAGTCTTGCAATATATGGAACTGTCTGATGCTAATCAATCTATGTTCCTGGCCATAGACCACAGGAAACCGCCTGTAAACTCATTCTCAGCTGGCCGAACATACCACAGTGCTGTGCATTTGCTCCTGCCAACACACAGGGGGTTAAACGATAAAAAGAATTCAGCCCTGGGGCTCGAGCATTCAGCACCTATTAACTTTTCCCAGGAAATCAAATGCAAATTGAAAGTGTAGTTACTTGCCTGTTAGCGCATAGTTCGCTGCACAATTATCGGATTATTTGGCCGGTTTTTGTTCCGCCTGTCTCAGTTAACATACTCACCATTAGCACTGCAAAGTTCCCGAAGTGAGTACACTGAAGGGTGGTGATGTTGCCCGCAGAGGTAATTAGGTGGCAGCCTTCTCCGCACCAGCCCCCATGTCCGTCAAGAAGGTCAAAATCCCAAACGGCAGCAATAGGGTCTACACCCCTTGTAATATGCCTCAGGGCTATGGTCAATGGATTGGCGAGCTTTCCGAAATTGAACCCATCTGCAATAAACAAACATATACATATATGTGTGCAGAATTCACTAGAGATGATCAGAATAGTCTAAGGAAAATTGTATAGCTTTGACTGCAGAAATTGTAAAATAAGTTATAGATTGATGCTTGAAAATACTCCTGTCCAAAGATTCAACATTCTATTCTGAAAAGTTTGATGTTAATTGACAGCACTGGTACCCTAATCCTAATGCATTTCTGCGTATTGTCTATCTACATTGCCCACACTAATCGGGAAATGTATTTATTGGCACTGTTAAAGTCTATAAAAGCTCTGTACTGTCTATACTATTGTCAAATATAACAAGTGTCTCTGGTTCCAGTAATACAGCAAGAACAGCCACTGATCCTAGTGTACCTCGTACAACTGCATGAATGGCCATTAATATGCAAGAAGCAGGATACTACCATTCATCTTTAACTGCAATAACTGGAGTTACTTTCCCAATTACAGCACTTTAGTGATTGCATAAGGCTTTTGTGTCTGTCTTCTATTGCTGGTGATCTGTGATTACACAGTGTTAAGTTTTTTTTCAATTCATTTTTGAGATTAAGATAACTTGCCCAGACTATGCAAATGTTAAAATGTCTGTCCTGCTAAATTAGAATATTAACACCACTTCAAGACCCCCATTTCAACAAGGCTGATGACCATTTTCCTATACAGCAATGGTGCTTTATGTCACAGAGGAAATGGAACTGGAATTAAATAAAAAAAAGAGCAATTTACCTATTTTAGAAAGCACAGCTGGTGTAGTAACCTCCCGACGTTTGCCCTGATCTGCAAGATATGATGTATTCCCAGTGATCTGAAAGAGTTTCCCATTCCGAAAGACGATAAGCTGGAGCTTGCAAGTGGAGTTATCAACAGATTGTAAGGATGGAGACTGTGTAAATGCAGACTGTGGCAAATGAATAGAGGCGATGGCTACAGTGTTCTGTGCATCAGAGACAGAGAGAACAGGGAGAAGAAAAAAAAAAAGAGAGAGAAAAAAATTGAAAATGCAAGTCACAACAGGGCTGCTTTCATTAGGTTTTAAACTACAGCACTAAGGATATGTGCTCTCTTCCTCTTTTTTTTCCCGCAGAATGGAAGCAACCATACAAGCGGGAGCTGTAACCATGGAAATAAGACTGGTAGAGTGCATATTAAAAGGGAAAGCATTTCCACTGCATGTGTTAGGCTGTGTGGTCAAGCTCCCTGCTGCAGAGGTGAGAATGGTTCTTACCATGCCTGCTAGAGGGGTCCATCAACACTGCAGATCTGATTTAAAGAGACAATCTCTACCAGGTTTTCTCCTTCACTTAATACAGAATCAGACAACTTATATTAAAGCCTTACCGCGGAGCAGGCTTTTTTAAAAGGGATGCAGGAATCATTTTTCACAAGGATCTAAACAGCAGGGCACGGTGTGAATAGACTCATGATATGCAGCAATGCTCTTTTTTAAAATGACACGTTTGTACATTATACTGATCTAGTGCTGAGGTCTTGCCAGGAGTAAGCTCAAGTGCCTGCAAACAGCATTTCAAAGGCATTTCGGCACAGATTAACCTATGGATACTTCTAATTCTTCTGGAAATCACTTCCGTTGGGAGATGAAGAAATGCAGAGCGTGTAGCAGACTGGGTGGCTGTGAAGGAGTTAATCCCTTGTTATTCCCTCATAGAGGAAGCATTGTGAGACTAACGTCATAAGAGGTAGACCTTTAAAAACAAGTCAGAGCCTAGTATCGCATAGATTCTCAGTGTTCATGAATACAGATATTTATAGAGGAAAAAAGCCAGAAAAAACGCAAAGGTACATTGGAACCTTTCTGATCTACGTACCCCATTCATTTGTATTATCAAATGTGTTCTGCTATAATATATAATTACCAAGTTTACAGATTCCATTTCAATCAGATGTCCCCTAGGTGCAAGTGTAGACATTTGCATGCATACATGATTATAGGATGCAGCTTGCCTCTGCCTCCCTGCATCCTCTCACCGGTCCATTGTGTTTCCCTCACCGTTATATCTGCTACTGAATATACTATTACCAACTTGTTACATTTATTTGTAGATATTGCACCTCAGTGGCTTTGCATGCAACAATATCATCTTGTGCCAATAGCGGATTTGGTATTCCTTCTTTTTGTAAAGTTGTCTTTTAACTCTGAAAGCGCCTCAGTGTTTTTCTTTGATATCACATTGTTAGAAGGATTATAGTCATTTGTTCATGTTCTTTTTAATTGGATATCAGTTGTGGATCTCAATGGAACAAGAAAGAGGCTTGGGAGTCATTTTTCAGGAAAGGAGAGCTTTACGAGAAAGACTTGGAGAGGAAGACAGACCTTGTACTGCATACCAATGCAATCCGAGACTTAAAGGAGAAGTATTGAGAGAGTAAAATGTACTCTTCCTAATAATTAGGGATGGTAGGTGACACTTCAGGTTTCACATACTGGCTCTATAGATTGAGAACTAAGCAACCACAAACCACTGATCGCTCAGCTCATGGTTTTTTTTCAATACTGAGAGCGGTGACTGTCAGTCAACGCTCCTCGGAGGGATTCTCCCTCCCTTCTCTGTTCTTCCATGCTTAATGGAAAAACAGATGGGGGGGGGGGAGGTGGGCACAGCTGGCTCTGGCTCTAGATAGGCAGAGCCAGCTGCCAATCATCAGCTGTCTATCTTTCCTGCTCTGCTCTCTCAGCAATTAGCGGGCAGTAGCCTGCTATATGCTGACTTTAGGTCACAGGGGTATATTATCAAATGTACTCCTTTGACCCAAATGAGCACTAAAGCCCAAAAAAAATGTTTGGCTATAGTTCTCTTTTAAAACTGTGCATGGCTGTTAAGTAACACAAATAGCAATAAGGGCAACTTTCGTCACTAAGCAAAGTTGATTCACTAAAGAGTAGAGAATATTCACTTAGCTCAGTAAAAATATGTGTATGTTAGTGAATAAGGGCGTTTTATGTTAAAGGCATAGTCCAACATTTAAAAAAATAAATAAATAGATAGAATAGATAAATAGAATAGATAAAATATGCCCATTTACTAATTTCTTTGCATATAATCATGCAGAGCATTGGGCCAGTGGATCACAGGTGGCATGCACAGGCTATTCTCCATCCCATTGCATTTTTGTCCATCCAGTCCTATAATTTACACATCTCTGCCACAAAGCACATCAATGGCTGGCCTGGCAGGAGACCTGATTTTTGTCTGCTGCAGTTTAGTAACACATACAGGTTTTGTCCCTAAATCCCACAAACCCACACCCCGTCCTGTAACTGGACAGTGAAAAGTTAAGTTGAAGACTGGTGAGCTCATCACTCTCTATCATCACTTCTATCAGTATGTTCCTTGTTAGGACATGAGCAGGGTAGCTGACTTATTTTGCTTCCTCTCCCTGTATAACCTGTAATGGAACTGTAATTCAATTTATATTGTAATGAATGCAGAGCCGCATTAATGTGTGTATTTTAGATCTGCCTGCATCTTTAAAGACTGGCAGGTCAACACACTGGCAGAGGGGTTAGCATTAGGGGTGCACTGAAATGAAATTTTGTAAAACCGAAACAAAACTGAAAATTAAAAAAATGTAAGGTCTAAAGCCAAAACCGAAAAAAAAATTTCTAACCTTTTCACATTTTCAAAAATATTGTATTTGTTATTTATTTATTTTTTATTAAATATTTTTATTTTTTTACTTTACTTTTAGGGGCTTTGGGGAAATATTGGGGGTCTAAACAAACCCCTGATATTTCCCTTTTAAAATAGAAAATAAGATTGAGGACACAGAGCCCTCAATATCTTCTTCTGCAGCCCCTGTTATAAATGAACATGAATCTTCTATGAGTGTTCCTGTTCATTCATAACATGAGGAAAGAGTATGTTTACTATAACCACAAGTATGAATGAACAGGAGGTGAAGTAGATCACTTCTCATTCATAATTGGGGACACAGTAAACATACTATGTCTTCAGTTTTTAAAATATTTACAAACACTCAGTGATCACTGATCGCTGAGTAATTTCTAACCTTTTCACATTTTCAAAAATATTGTATTTGTTATTTATTTATTTTTTATTAAATATTTTTATTTTTTTACTTTACTTTTAGGGGCTTTGGGGAAATATTGGGGGTCTAAACAAACCCCTGATATTTCCCTTTTAAAATAGAAAATAAGATTGAGGACACAGAGCCCTCAATATCTTCTTCTGCAGCCCCTGTTATAAATGAACATGAATCTTCTATGAGTGTTCCTGTTCATTCATAACATGAGGAAAGAGTATGTTTACTATAACCACAAGTATGAATGAACAGGAGGTGAAGTAGATCACTTCTCATTCATAATTGGGGACACAGTAAACATACTATGTCTTCAGTTTTTAAAATATTTACAAACACTCAGTGATCACTGATCGCTGAGTGCTTGTACCTACTCTCCATCCTGACTCGGTGTCACAGGAGGCTGAGCAAGCGATGCAGCGAGGAGAGCTTGGTCTCCTCTGACAGCTGACTCCTCCCCTGCACCGCCGGCCCAGCCTTCTTTGACAGCTCACAGCTGTATCTGCCCCCACACTGCCGCTCTCCTATTCTGTCACAGGAGGCTAAGCAGGGTGGTGCGGGAGGAGAGCCCGGCCTCTTGTGACATGCCGGCCTACCCCACACTGCTCGGCCTCCTCTGACAGTTTCTCTCCTCCCCACTGGACATTGCGTGTCAGAGGGGACACAGAGCAGTGCCCAGCACACAGGAGAGAAACCAGGCATGCACCGCAATTTTGGCCGAAAGATGGCACTTTCGGCATTTTGCCACAAATGCCATTTTCGGACAATATGCTTAGGCGACCGAAATGTTGGTGCATCTCTAGTTAGCATGCTTGGATTATTTCACTACTTGTTGGGTTGGATTTCCACTTAAAACACTGTCTGCATGGAGTTTGCATGTCCTCTCTGTTTTCATGGGTTTCCTCTGCATCCTTTTGGTCTAACCCAAGAAACCTCTGCTAGATTGAATGGCCTCTGTTAAACAGGCTGTAGTCAGAATATCCCACTCTACCATGGCTGGTCAAAAGTAGGAGAACGGATGAGTGCACAGTTTGCAGCTCAAAACCATAAAAATTGTGCCCGGCATCACATAGACAGCAAGTCTGGGCTGATAATGCTTTGTGAATGTTGGCAACCAGGTATTAGACTGATCTGTCTCTTTTGCAGGGAACTTGTCACATAATAACACAACTGTTCTGCCTCACTGCCATGGCTAATTAAAAATGGGATAAATCTATATGATAGCACTTAGAAAATATGGCAGCTCTGTGTATTCACTAAGTCAGTGATTCTCAAAGTTTTTTCAGTCATGACACCCATTAAAAGTATGCAAAATCTCGAGGCACCTCAGTCTAAAATGTAAAGAACATAAATGTAAAGAATCATATGTGGTCCCTACAACATAGGATTTTAAGGCCTGACCTCATGCAAACACACCCTTCACATTAGGAGCCCCCTTTAAATCAGAGCCCACCCCTTCACATCAGAATCCCCCCTATTACATCAGAGTCCCCCCTTCACATCAGAATCCCCCCTTTAGCATCAGAGTCCCCCCCTTCATATCAGAATCCCCTTTTACATTAGAGTCCCCACTTTCACATTAAAAGCACCCCTTTAACCTCAGAATCCCCCCTCACATCAGAGTCACCCCCTTTCATACTAGTAGCCCCCCTAACATCAGAAGCCCAACACCCTTCTTGAGAAATGCTGCTCTAAGTTCTCATTGGCCTTGGCAGTCAGGCAGAATCATTATTATCTATTTTCATAACATTATTTTGACTAAGTGCCTTAGTCTAGGGTCCATACTAATACCTTGCTCCCGGTAACTCCTTCCTCCTTTCCCAAGTTAGTATATGGATGTCTGCTGGAGATTGTGCTCTCCCTTGTGATCTTGTACTGGACAAGAAGTTCAGGGAAGCAGAGCTGAGAGAGTTGGAGCTGTTTGGAAACATGACTGTCAATGTTTGATCTGGATTCATTATTGAAAAAATATGTGTATGTTTAATACTACTTTAAGGTCTAGTGCACACAGGCTTTTTTTAATGCCTTTGAACAC